GAGCCTGAGTTCTGCTCGCGGGAAAGGGAAGGATTCACCTCTAAGCTGTGGTCCCTTCAGGTCCGCAGATCACAAGGCATCCCTTAACTGCCTTTTTGATTCTCATTCTTCATGCCTCAACTAGACCCAGGTTGCAGTCTATCCCACAGCCCATCTCCTTTCCAGCATTAGCTTCAAGCGGAACAAATTTGAGAAGGGTTTTGCTGCTTTTGTTATATGCATAAAAATGCTGAACCCCGAGCTAAGAGGCTCCATGGGCCTCTTTCTCCTTTAGGCATAGTGATAAATAAGCTTATTGCAAAGTTGATTTGTGTTTCTGCTTCCTTTCCAGCAGGACTGCTGGGGTGGATAGAAGAAGCTTGTTGCCACAGTCGCTCATCAATTTGTCCTCCCCTCTTTGCTTCCTTGGAAGCTCTCACTTCCGCACCCTCTTGGGCTGACCCAACCTTCAGAAGCACCGTTGTGCCTCTGGGGCTGCACGTATCTAGTTCTAGGGGTGGGGAGCAGCATCCCACTTCTGCGCATCTTTTTAAAATGGAAACCTGCCGCTAAACTGCCCAGGTGGCTTTTGCTGATAAAGATATTTATGAGGGTCTTTCCGTGGTGCTCCCTTGCAGCTTGCTGGGCGAAGGTGGCCATTGACAGATCCAGCAGGCTGTTCTTTTTGTCTTACGTTCTTAAAACAAATCAGCGGCCATCAGAGCCGTCCAGAGCCCTGTTAGAAGCCAAGGTTCCTTCTAAAGCCCACAGGAGACTTGTGCATTATCGCTCCAGTTCACTGATTATTCTGCAGGCTGAGAAGCTGCACACAGACAAGCTCCAACCTCTGCAGAGCAATCAGCTTGATTTTTAAGTAAGGGATGCCTTCCAATCAATGCTCTGAGCACAACGGGCTGTTCTCAGTGGGCTTCCGCTTATTCCGTTCTTATGTGGATCAGGGTCATCAACGCCCACCACCCCTTCCTTTCTAAATCCAGGTTTCTCCATGCTTGAGAAAATACTAGAAAGAAAGAATGGCAAGATTTCAAGGTTAAGCTGAATGTGTTCCATCAGCATTTATAAGCCTCAGCAGGCAATGAAGTGGTGGTGGTGGTTTAACCTTTGGAATACAGCAGAAATACAAGGAAGGATAGATAATTAATTGAATAGATATTTGAATAGATATCCAACCCTCAGATGTTTCTGAAATACACTCCCAATGCCCCGGATAGCTTGACCTGGAACAAGAGGCATTGGCCATTCAGCAACATCTGGAAAACCCCTGCATTTCCACTCCATCGCTCCAGCTTGCTGAAACCCACAGTCTGCCCATTTGGAATTTTGATTCCGGCTGCAATCTTAAATCCTGATTCCTGGAGGAATAACTTTTGACCAGCCGTGCATGGAATTGTTCCATTTGGTTTCTGCAGAGGTTGACCGTATTTGGGCCACCCTGTATCCCGTGGAATGGGAAATTGCATTGGTGCCTGTGGGTGCACACACACCCTTAAAGCACAATCATCACAGCTTGAAACTTGAATCTTGTAACACAGAATAGTAAACCTCTTCCTTAGAAGAGTCCATGGCACTTTTGCCTATAGAAGACCTCAAGTGGAGTCCCTAACATCTCTAATTAAAAGGCAACAATTAACAGGAGACCTACCTCTTAAAAAAAAGATTTCTAGCTAACTAGATAAGGACAAGCGTGTTGCACAAGCATTGTTTAAGAACAAGTGCTCCCATGCGTGCAGTAAAACAGCATGCCCATGTTTTAGAATAAGGAAAGATCCTCTGCCTATTGCCTACAGTCGTGTCATTCCTGCGATACATATCGCATTTGGTGAATGCCATTCTCAGAGTATGAGAGCTTATACATTCCTTAAATTTATCATATTTCTCCTCTTATAATTGCATGCTTTATCATCTGTTAGCCAGCCTTCTTCCTCTGTCAGTATGTATTATGAGGACTACTTACACAGAGTGTTCGTTAATTAACGGGCTACGGTTTGTGTAAGCCTAATTAATTCTCCAGAGCTACTCTCTGTTCCTCTCCTCCTAGCCATCTTTCTACAAAGGCCTCGCAGGATCTCAAGTAACATTGTGTAGCCTGGTGAACCAAAACCGTGTGATGCTGGAGGAACATGCACGCCACCTCCTGAACGAGCCCGAGAGAACCACCATGGCATACTACCTGGATGAATACAAGGAGAACAACATCTCAATTGATTCCCTCATCATGGCTCTCTTTGAACTGCTCAACACCCATGCCAAGGTTAGCTGGGGAAACAAGGATAAGTCATCAGGGTTTAAGGACTTGCAGAACTGGACATCTGCATGACTTCCTGGCCTTTCATTCTTTGTCTTCACATGCCATACTGAGTGCAAGAAAAAGGGTAACTTTGCCTTGCTTTGGTTGGCCTCCACCGACAATCATGTCTGCATGCATGAAGCACACCAGCTTCATGTATGCAGTCGGAGATCTTTGAATGGGCAGGATCCCTGATTGTGTCTACATAGCTGATTGCTATGCATTTAGCATGGGCCTTGCCTTCTTCATGGGTTAAAGGTGCATGGAAGGGCTTCATATGCAAAATTCCATGCCAGCATCCCACCATGTACATTTCCCTATGAAGTTGAAAAAGAAGAATACTCATGGAGGAAGCATGGAACCACCAGAGGAGTGGAGAAACACAAAAGTTTCAGTGATGTAAGTATATACACGTGTACGTGTTACCCTTCCACCAGATTCTGCTTCAACGCTCCATCTTCCCTTCTTGGTTCTGCAGTTCTCCCTCCTGTCAGAGGTCAGAGGGGTGATATCTCCACAAGACCTCGACCATTTTGACAACCTGGTTCTTAAGAGGGAAATAGAATTCATGAAGGCCCGGCAACCCTCGGGGACAGGAACGGACTCGTACTCCACAATGTCCTACAATGATTCTGCCTCGTCTGCTGAAAGCCATTTCACATCTACCACAGTCAGTTCAGCTCGGGTAGGTACTCTTGTCTTTCTCTCTCTTGCTCAGGTCTCGCATTTTGGCACACAAGGTCTAGTAGCACCTTATATGTCGTGGACATCTGCAGAGCAAGGGGAGTAGATATCGAGTCAATGCGGAGTTTCCTTGGGGGAGGGGGCCACTTGTGTGGACAGGTCTATGGGAAAAGTGTCCTCCAACAGTGCCTACAGCCAGCATGCTCTTAGCAGTGTTGAGTGCCTGTCTCAAACCCCTCTGCTCATTTCCCACAACATCCCTGAGCAGCATTTCATGCCAGGTGCACTATGGAAAATTCAGTAGCAACAGGATGCAATGGACTGCAAAATAAATAAATAAAATTGAGCGAATGGGAGCTCAGGTGCTAGGACGGTGCTGAAGAGTTAGTTGAGACAAATTAAATACACAGGAGCCCACGAGCATCCAATTAAAAACACTGTGGGGTTCTTGGTGTTCTCTGAGCTTGGCGGTTGGCCTGTAGATGTTTCATTACCCAACTAGGAAACATCATCGGTGCGAGTAAGTGTGGGGTTTGATGCCTGTTTATATACTGTGCAGTAGCTTTAAGATTTAAAGCTACCGTATATAAACGTTTTAAAAACATTTTTCCTGAGGAAAGGATTGCTAGAGAGTGCACGGGGAAAGGGGAGAAGCAGCAAGGAAAAGATATAATTCATTTTCCCCCAGCCAACCACTTCTTTCCCACATTCCAGGATTTCTCTCCCAGGTACAGGGGGGAAATAATCATTTGAGAATTCCCCTGGGTAAAAGCCAGTAGGAGAAGGAATCATAAGGCAAATCAACTCTTTCCAGAAAATCAAGAAGATACCTGGATTTTCTGCCGGCGTCTTCTGTTACCCCTTTCCCCTCCCTGCCAGCCAGTGCCAAATGAAGTTAGGATAATCGCCTTTTTAAATGTGCAGCCCTGAGGGCCATGAAATCAATTTGCTGGTAATAAAAACACCTTTCATCAAAGCCTCATTAGCAAGCTTGGGAAGAGAAAGGCTGTTTCATGAAGCAAGTTGCTGAATGCGTGAACTCAAAGGAGGCCACTGCGATGAGTTGGGTATTCAGGGCAACTGTGAACGGAGTGAGGGATGCGGTCCTTCTAATGCTAGGAAGATGGCGTGTTGGTCTGAGTGGAGCACTGTGGGATCCAAACAAAGCCTGTTTAGTCCAGCAGCTTTGTTCCCCATCCACAAGCCAGATGTTCTTGGGAAGACTTCAGACAAGACACGAGTGCTAACTTGAGAGTCCACGTTGTCCTTTTATAGGCACGTGCATGGTGTCCTCCAACGTACAGGGTGCAAACAAAGTGCCTCTCATTTAAAGGAGTACAGTCACGATCCTGACAGTGCGATGCCACCAAGGAACATATTATAGGAGGAGACCTGGGTTGGTCTCTAGCAGCAGAAAATCAGGAGAAGTCTGGGAGCACCTTTTCCAGCGAACCAATTTTCCTCAAAGGCATAAGCGTTTTAATGCATCTGGCGACGGGAGTTGCAGCTCGCCAACGTCTGAGGCCTCTTAATAAAATAAATACTTCGAAAGTCTTTCCTAAATAAAAAGACTCGTCCTGGTTTTGGGCTGCCAAGGCAGAGAAGCCCCTTGGAAGATTCTTAAGGGAGCAAAACCAAAGGAAAGTTCGATCCCCATTTGTCCTCCTGCAGCGGCCAGGCAGAAAATTCACCAACAGGAAGGAGCAGAGAGCATTCACTGAGATGTCCTGCTTCTGTTTCCTGTCTCCTGCCATGATACAATTATCTTGCATAAATTGGTCTTCGTCTTATTCCGGAGGCCATTCAAATTAGCAGGCGTCCCGAATCGTAGGGGAGGGAGTCCCTGCCTGTTAATGTTCGATTGTATGAACAAACCCTTCCTTGAATTGCCTTGGATCAGCTGCCTAGCAGTTTTCTGAAGGAACTTTCCTAAAGGTCTCTGATAAAGCGAGAGGAAGGTGAACTTTCTCTTTCTCTCCACTTCTTCCGCAGAGACATTCTTGGCTTCGGGCTGTTGGATACATTTTTCCACCTCGCCTTTCTGCCAAACGGTTCCCAGCGTGAAAAAAGCAGGCAAAGGGCAACCGAATCGATAAGCTAAAACAAACTCAAATCCAACCACTCCTCTTTCACGGACGACCAGCCCAGCCAAGTGAAAGACCCTCAAACGGTTTGAAACCTGTGGCCGTTCGCATCAAAGTTGGTTAGTGGCAGGGGAGAAATGAGGGAACGGCTTTCCCTCGGGGATAGCCCAGCCAGCTTGCGATCAAATAAATACAACCCCGTCACATTTCAGTGAACTTCATTTCCCCTGGAAAGACATTCTGAAGGTCAATTCACTTTCATCAGAGGCAGTGAGGACCACAAGGAGAAACAATGCAGGGAAATCACTCTGCCCGGTATTAACTTACATAGCTTTTCATTGCTAGCTTCTAACCTATTTCTTTCTCTGCACCTTTTTTATTTATTTCATGCTGTTCCCATGTCTGCTCAACCCACGTTGCCAGGAGAGACTCTTGTGGCTGATTGATTTGATGGAGGTAAGCAATTCCCAAGGGGGATTTTTTTTCCCTCTGTGGTGTGTGTGTGAAAGATACCTGGAGGGTCAGGCTGGGGAATCCAGAAAGAGTATTCACAGGGCCATTGTGGCCCCAAGTGAAATTGAGGTTCACTATACCAAGTGGAGCTTTGGAGAAGGCTCTAATGCTGGGGAAGGTGGTAGGAAAGAGAAGAAGAGGATGACCAGCACAAGGTGGAGGGACTAAGTTACAGCGGTGATGGGGGCATCATTGGAAGACCTGAAGGATCAGGTTAGGGACAGATCATCCTGGAGAAAATCTATCTATATGGTCGCTAAGAGTCGACAACGGCTTGATGGAGCAAAATCAATCAATACCAAGTGGAAGAAGGTGGTGAATTGGGCTCTAATTATGAACTTGCTTTCATAATCGTTATCATAATGATATTGCTTTCTCCCTGAAATGCCTGCTTTTGTGCATTCTTCTTGGAGCCCATAATTGCCTGGCAAAGTTTGGAGAAATACACTGTTGGAAGGCATTTGGACGCATTCTGTTGGGTCTAATAATCTGAAACTTGAACATTTAATTTAAAAAAAGGGGGGGATTAGGAAGGATTGAACAGACTCCTGCAATTGTTGGCAAAGATTTTCCTGCAGTGTTTTGTTTTCCTGATAGTCCGGATTCTACTCGTGCTATCATTCCTGTTTCACCAAATGAGATTATTTCATCCATCGCACAGTTTTGCTGCTGATAATGTTTCGTTGCCTGAAAAATCACTTCCGTTTTGCTTCTTGCTGTCCGTGTCTTGCCAAACACAAGCCCTCTGGCCCAGCCTGGCTCTTATCACTCTCCTCTTAAGGATTTCTCAAATCGCCGTCTTGTCTTATTAGCGGGAGGTTAATTGTGTTTTGTACTAATTGAAAACGGCTCAGGCTGATCACAGGGGTTCATTGCCTTCCAAATTGACTTTAAAACAGAGCCAGCCACAATGGGGAAAAGGTGCGAGACCTTCTTCTTCTTCTTCTTCTTCTTCTTCTTCTTCTTCTTCTTCTTCTTCTTCTTCTTCTTCTTCTTCTTCTTCTTCTTCTTCTTCT